TGTTGTCTTGGATTCTGGATCTGTTTTGTCTAAAAGCTCAAAATCCGAGTGTAGCATTCGATGGAAAAGATTTTGGTTTTGCTCACACGTAGGTTTTATTTCGTGCGAATTGGCCAAAAGCATGATGTTTTAGGGGAAAAAGCCCTGCTATGAAGTAAATAGAGCTTTTTTAACGCTCCGGTTTAGTGAAGTTAAAACACTTTTTTTATTCGTTGACATTAAACTTTGGAAGTAAGTTCATCCAAAATACACTACTCTGTTCTATTGCTGGCCAGACCTAGTGAAGGGAGATCATGGACGCACATAGTAACATTTCCGGTAACAGATGCTACTTAATCTGTTTATTCCGTGTTAATTACTGACCTTGGTTTTTTTTCGCCACTTTCGGTTCGAGCGAATCGATAATTAGCGCCGGCTTTTTGTCTCCCCGTGTACTGCTTGCGAGCCAACATCTACATATACTGGGGAAACTTGGTGGACGTCATCTTTTTCTCATGTAACACCTGAGACCGCTAGCCTGACTTGTGTTTTAGGTTGTGGAGGAGCTTAGTTTTCTTAAAAAGAACATCTGAGCTTCAGAGAAATTTTATTTAAAGTGAAATATTGTTGATAATAAAGATCTATTTTTATTTTGGTATACTGGAAAAACTCAACAAGTCTGGCAGCAACTATGGAGAGAGAGTTTAACATGTCAAGTCTAAAGACTGTAGGAGGACTTATTTGGCCTTTTCAATGAACACTAGTGACCTTTGTGCAGTTATATAGACAATATTGCATGATATGAAACTTTGGAGTCTTAAATGGCATTATAATCAATGCCAATAGTTTGAAAAACGTCTCCTATCATTTCTCACTACCTTATTTTGTTACCTCAAATGTGTTTTACTCAATTTTAACCTTGTTGCCACCTCATTTCCTTTCTGATCATGCATCAACTGTTGCTTCCTGTAGAAACCTTTTAAAAACTTTGCTCTCTGGGCTACTGAGCTCCATCTACTTCCCACTGTCTCCAACTGGCCCAAAAAAACCCCACAATAACTTTGTAGTCTGGTTTTTTTCATAATAAAATAATAATTTTACTAATGTTGGCCATGCTTTGTAGATTTAAGTCTAGTTCCCATGTATGTGTCTTTGCCACCACTCTAGGACAGGGCACTAAGTGCCCTGTTTCTAGTACATTAAGTGGGTGGACAAGCCTTTAGGCAGTTAAGTAACTTAATTTCTGCCACAAAGTTTAAAATTTCCCCTGTGGTTTGTATTCCTTCCAGTCGCATCTTCTTCCCCATGGGATGTGGGGATAGCTGGCTGGGCAGCAATTATTGGCTGTACCTAGTTGCCACTGAAGATGGCAGTATTTAAAGTAACAGAAAGCAATCAAACATTGAAGTATGAAATAGGTTTAACTTTTACCTCTTTGAATATTAGTAGCATCCTTAATCATGCACTAAGTTTTTTTTATATTTACCATGAACCTGATATCAAAGCTTGGCTGTATCGTCAATTTGCACCAAGTGCTGTTTTCTCATGTTGCAAGCCTTGATGATCTGTGTTGGTCTTTTATTCGAATAAAAGTTCGAAATTGGCCATGTGTTGCTGCATTTGCACAAAGACTGCTTCCATAATCTGAGGAGTAACAAATGGTGCTGAACATCCTCACTTATGACCTTATGATGAAGTGAAGGTCATCAGTGACCTACCATGAAGAATTTGCGCTCTTGTAATGCAGTGTTCGTGTCCCTGCCTCTGAGCTGGCATGCCTAGGCTGAAGTCCCATTTGCTCCAGAGATGTCTTGTAACATGTCTGAATATTTTGATTTTTTTAAAAACATTCTTTGGATTTCTTACCATGATGACCTGGAACGAAAGTGACTGGGCTCTGATAATGACTCCAACCAATGGAAAGTTTCCTCAATTCCCATTGACTGTAGGCTTCCTAGGGCTCCTTGATGTTGTGTTCAGTCAAATGCGGACTGGTGTCAAGGGTAGTCTTGCTCAACTATTTGTCCATGTTTGAACCAAGGCTGTATTGAGGTGAGAAACTGGTTCCGGTGGAATCCGAATCCAAACCCAGTATCGTTGCTGGTAACCCATGATGCTAAAGAGTTTCAGAATTTTGATCCATAGACAATAAAGGAACACAACTATTTTTCCAAGTCAGGATGTATGTATTGGAGGGGAACTTGCAATTGCATGTTCCCATGAATTTGCTGTTCTCCACCCTTCAAGGTGGTAGAGGTGGTTTTGTTTATTTTGACTTGAAAGGTACTGCTAAAGGAGCATTGGTGCATTGTAGCGGTGCATCTTGTAGATATTATACACTACAGCTGGTTGGAGGGAATGAATATTGAAGGTGTGATCCCAGTTAGGTGGGTTGCTTCGTCTTGGATGATGTCAAGCGTCTTGAGTGATGCTGGAACTACATTTATCCAGGCAAGTGGAAAGTATTCATCACACTCCTGACTTATGCCTTATTTTGGGGAGTCGGGAGGTGAGTAATCATCCACAGAATTTCCATACTCTGATCTGCACTTTAGTTACAAAAAAAAATTGACTACATGAATTATGGTATTGCTTAACTTTCTGTTGTGTCCTCCTTTAGCTGTTTAATGACACTTGCTTTTATTGGTCATATGATGTGCTTTCAGATAAGTGTTAAACTGTGCTAAATAAATAAGATCTTTTTAAAAATAGTCAGACTTTGTCTCCTAATCAAAGGAAGGTGATTAAACCATCAATTTCAATGAGGTTGAATTTGGTGAGAAAATTTAAGTTCATGGTTTAAAATATTGAAAAATTCCAGCATTTGAGAATACAGAATTTTAGGGAGATGCCTTCTACCTGTTTTGTACTTCGTTTTGTAACATCCCTCTTTAATGGAAAGGAGACTTGTTGAACGTGATTTTTTAAAAATTTGGTTAACAGGTGATTGTGGAAAACCTCCGACTTTGGAAAATGGCTTACCAGTTGATGCTCAGACCACCCAGCCTGTGGGTACAAGACTTGCTTATAAATGTTTCCAAGGATATGTGTTTCAGGAAGGAGGTTCAAGACACATTACCTGCAGGGAAAATTCAACTTGGTCACCTCTACAAGCAGTTTGTGAACGTAAGGAATAAGTAATCTTTCCTCCAGAACATTGTCTTTTCCCCATTTGATTTCTTCTCCACCCTACTTGGCCCATTTTTGATTTTCAAAGGAACTTATAAGTGAGTTAAATTCCTAGACTGCAATGACCATGCTTTGTAGGGGAGTCTTGGGGTGGTAACTGCCTCAAACGTAGCTTGGAAAATAGTTTTTAGTCTTGATAGTCTTATCACTTGATATAGTTAACTCCCAGCTAGGATAGTTGAATGCTGATTTAGCAATGGGAACAGTTCTGTTGTACATACTAATGCAAATGATAGAATACAGATGTTAAGAGTGTTAGTTTGCTGTTATGTTTGAACAGGAGCCTATTAAAGTACTGGTACTTGGCTGTAAACTTTCAAAAACAAGTTTTAATGATGGTAGGTATTCCATGAGAGCAGCTCATTTCTAACTTTAGTCACCCGAGAAGTGTATTATTAATAACCCTTCAAGTAAACTTCCCCTTTCATCGTCTATTTCCCCCCTCCCCCAACCCCGGATTATCCTCTGAAATCAATCTGATCAGGATGTTGGTAGAATATTCCTCACTAAACTGGCCAAACTGGAATCAGTTGTAACTTGCTCAGCAATGTTGAAGAGAACAGAGCTGCAATAGTTTCAAGTTCCTATTTGTAACTACTACTTGAGCTAAGTAGATGTAGATCTGAATGTTAAAATACAACGCTGAGACTATAACTAACTGGCTAAGTAATCTTGACCTGTTGGAAAAACTACAAAGATAGTTTTTACTTAAAATGCATCAAATGAATTTTGGATGCATCCTATCCTGACAACCTCTGATCTGTAAATCAGACTTTGGACCAAGGAAGTGATTGACTTACCCCCTCTATTACATAACAGAAGGAATCTATTAAACTATTGGCCATGTCACAGGGCAGCTTTTATGGTGATTCTTTGCTGGAACTGGTGCTGAGGTGGGGATTATCAAGAGCTTCAAGTTTCTAGAAATAAAGAGCACCAACAATCTGTCCTGGTCCATCAATGTCAAGACTGTTAAGAAAGCGCATTGACACCTCTACTTCCTCCAGAAGGCTAAGGAAATTTGGCATGTCAGCAGTGACTCTTAACAATTCTATCTATACGATAGAGAGCATCCTATCCAGATGGATCACAGCTTGTTATGGCAACTGCTGTACCCAAGACAGCAAAAAATTAGAGTTGTGAACATAGCCCACTCCATCATGCAAACCAACCTTCCATCCTCTGACTCTCCTCTTGGATTAACTGATAAAACATGCATTTCAGGATTGCCTCGGGTGTGTATTATGTGAACCTGTGACGTTATCACATTGGACAAAATCTTTAATTTGCATTGCTCAAACAATATTCTTGAATTGCATTATTCTATTGTTTAAAAAGTCTTCTACTTTACACAAAACTAATCTGACCTGTATTTCAAATCCCATTGGCTAATGTGGTATATTTTAACTTTCTCTTTTTTTCTCCTTCCTATGTCTAGCAATAAACTGTGGTAATCCTGGAGAGATTCTGAATGGGTATTATAATGCATCAGATACCACTCTTGGAAGTAGAGCTTATTTTTATTGTAATAACTGGTAAGTATTCAGGTTCTCCTATGAAATAACGTTCATTGTGCAGTGAAAGACTTATGCTATTGCATTTGAGTTGAGGCCATCCACTTGCTGCACAAACTAAGAAACCAGCCATACTGTCATTTTGATTTAATTTTCCTGTCTTGTCTCTGAATATGGCTTCATGTTCTATAGGTTGTTTTATCCCATTTATTGCAAAATTTTAGAAAATTAATGTATTTTGTCTCAATTTACCCAATTGGTTTGAGTGTCCAAATCCCATCACTTGGGAACTTTATGCATTTCTTTTTAAAGTTGTCAATATAAAGATACTGCAGGTGTTGAAAATTTGAAACATAAACAAAATAGAGAAACTCTGCAGGTCTAGCAGCATCTAGTGGAGATAAAATTAATGTTTTCAGTCAGATATGATATTTGTCGTCTTCAGAACATTACACCAGTTAACACAACTGAATGTTTGCACAAGCTAAGGTATGTGACCCTTGTGATGTGCTGAACAAACTCTGGGATACTCCCATTATCAGTCAGAGCAGGAATAGGTCATTAAATCCATCAAGACTGCTCTGCCATTAAATAACGCTGTAGCTGATTTGATTATGACCTTAACTTCACTTTGCCTGTCATTTAGTTGTTCAAGAACGTCTGTTTCTCAAACTCTGCCGCTAGCTCCAACCACATCTCCAAGGCTCCAGGCCCTTAAGATAGAATGAGGAAGTTTTCTCCCCTCAAGTGGGATATCACTAATGCACACTGTGCCCCTAGTAATGATTCTTTCCTTATTCCTTCCATCAGGAGAAACATCCTCTTTGTTTCTGTCCTGTCAAGAACCCTCAAACCTCCAGGTTTCTACGGGCCACTTCTCATTCTTATAAATCCTGAGTATATGTTTGTCCTTGTAATGAATGGTCAACTTTTTAAATCCAGGAAATGAGCCAAGTGACACTTTTCTAAACTCCTCCTTCCAGTGAAATGTACATCTTTGAGGTCACAGCACACCAAATGCCAATGTCCTTTGATGTAGCAAGAGTTTTTTAAAAATATTCAATTCCCCTTCCATAAAGGAAGGCATTCCACTTACATACCTGCTTAGCTGGTCTGATTTCCTTCAAGGACACCAGATCCCCCTCTACTGCAGCATTCTGTAGTCTCTCACCACTTAAGTAATTTCATTTATTCTTCCCTCCCAAATGAACAACAACACACTTTTTTATATGTTAGACTGTGACAAATTTCTGCTCAATCACTCCATTTTCTGATGTTCTTTTTGTGGACAACTCAACATGCATTTTGTGCATTCCTGCCTATCCTGATGTCAAGCAGGTGTTTGTATGGTACAGCGGAGACAGTCCTTTTCAGACAAACTATTAACAACTTGTAAATAGTTGAGGTTATTTACAGATCTCTGGTTACAGTTTATAAACCAGAAGATGGCTAACTTTATCCAACTGTTTCCTGTTTTCATCCACTTGTTCAATGTCTCTTCTGTCCCTACCAAATATTATGAGCTGCCTTTCTTTTGGCAGCAACTTTTTTTTTTGAGGTGCCTTATTAAATGCCTTTTGGAAATCTGTGAATAGTGCATTCCCTGGTTCTCTTGTATCCACACTGTTTAATCCTCAATGACTCAACTGATCTAACACTCCCTTTCACAATTGAAGACTAATAATTATTCAGTAAGAGCCCATGGTGCTTTTCAACACTGAGTGTAAATTGAGGGCAGAGCCACATGAGGTTAAGGAGATACTGGGCAGCTGACGAAGCTTCTTCAAAGAAGTTTGAAGGAATAATGAGGCCAACAAGTGCAGAACTCCAGAAAGAATGCTGCTTTGGACCTCGGCAGTTGAAGGCCCACATTGCATAGTAACAAAGTAATTTTAGTGTTTACTTTGCACCAATTCTAATGGAACATAAATATTTATTGTACTGGAGGGAAATAATCAGTTTGAGCGACTTTCATCCATACCACCTTTGCAATTTTTCTTGTCACACTAGCACTTTTTTTTATTATTGGATGACTTTGTTTTTGATGTTGCAGCAGTTTCTTTTTCTGTTTCTAGGTTCAACCTTGTTGGTAGGAACTACCGGATTTGTACAGCTAATGGCTGGAGTGGCCAAGTTCCAACATGTGAAAGTAAGTGAGGAGCTCTAAATTACACAGGATGCTTGTCTTGGTTTTTCTGCACCAAATATATGAACAATATTAAGCTGTCATTTACAGTTCCTATCATGGACTTCCCTCAGGAGGGATTAGTAAGGAAGCCATCATAAAAGGATCATTAAATATCATGAACTGGTATGGAAAAAGAAGCAAAAACATTTTTCAAATATTAAAAATACTGCAGAATTAGCTTTACTATGCTTTTTTTTGCCAGTTACCAAACATGGCTCTTGAACTTAGAAGCTATCTGTGCAAAATTTGATGCAATTCAAAATAGGCATTCAGTCCTATCCCTTTCTCATAAAACTACTGCTGTGGACTTCTACAGTGAAATGTACAAATTCAGGAAAAGGTGATCGTTGGCAGAACTTGAACTTGGTATAAACTTAATTGTTTTTGCACTCAAGTATTCTGTCATCTGAGACTAATTTTATTCATGTTGCTCAAATTTTGAGAGCATCTTCACAAATAGTTGGCATTTAGATCACTGATTTTAAATTGGGCAAAACTAATGAAAATAGACATAACATAAGAACTAATCATCATATCATACTGTTCATATTAAGAAATACTGTTGCACATCAGTCTGGCTGTTAGCTTTTGCAACAGCTTAGAATATCAAACCTTTCATGTGAGATTTGTTTTGATCAAGCTTTTCATATCTGACCAGCAGTTGACTTGCATCTATCAATGTCCTCCTGTCAGCTGTTTGTATTTGACTTCTCCAATCCTGTCACTGCTCTGCTCTCTATCTGACTTGTCCAAAAATTGTTTAGACAGTGAGTTATAAACAAGGAATACAGCAGAAATAGCTGTTTGTCGGTCAGGCAGTATGCTTTGTCATGAGGCATTTACTTGACAGTCTTCTAACTTCACTCTTCCCTAGTTGTCCAGTGTCCTGATCCTCCACATATTGCTAATGGGACAGTTTCATCATCTGACAGTGACTCCTGGCCATATGGAAGTATAGCAAGATATTCATGTCTTGGGAATTATTCACTAATTGGTGAAGAAACCATCACCTGTACAGTGACTGGGCAATGGGATAAGGATCCACCAAGATGTCAAGGTACAGAATTATACTTCAGAATTTTTTAGGGAAAAATGACTGCAATCCAAGCTTGTACATAATGGGATTTGATTGTCTAGCTGTGCAAGCAGATTCTGGTGTAATCACTCGCTACATTACTAGTAATGCTGTGGTTGTTTCTAAAAATACAATCCCTGGTAGTGGTTTTTCTTGTTCATGATAAGCATTCCCACAAACAATCCCTCTGCCCACCGCAGCGCTCAGGTGGAGCCAGGATTATCGCATACACAATTCACAGTGCTACTAATTGGGCATTCCATTTTCTACTTTGATCAAGGTAT